TAGCATATAGGATTGTCTACATGTATTAATTGTACACTTTGTAACGATTGTATAATGACGTGATAAAGCGCGCAGAACTGATTTGAAATTTTTCTCCCGTAACAACATGCTTTCCAAGATGTTCGGCGAATTAAAAAGTTATATACAGAAAGCAACACTCCATTCCAATTTTTGCGTGTTTCGACTACGCTAAGTTAAGAGATAATGCAGCGATTTTTGTTTATACGGAAGAGCCAAAATAAATTGTTTTATAGAAAATCGTCGGGATTTTTCTATTCCTTCTCCTAGGGTTAATTTATAAATTTTATTTATCGATGTACGAATGATCAAAACTGATGTCACAATAAAAAGAAGAAAAAAAAAAAAGATTACAACGCAGGTAAAACTTTCGCTTTCGTTAACGGGTGTCATCCAGCAGTAGGACCGATTGTATCGTCATAAGAAATGTTTATTGTTAGTTACAATTTGTTATCATAGCGTTCGTAGGTTAATCATACAGTCTTACATACAAAAGCTAATTAGTAGTTTTGCAGAAAAGGATTTTTATGAGCTGGTAGAAAGATTTCGGAGATCAAGATTGACGATCCCTCTTTTTTTTTCCCTGATCGTAAAAATTGATTTATTCACGCACACACACACACACACACATCGGGAAAAACTGCCGATACTTCTCTTGATTTTTCTCGGGTTATTTTTTTTTCTTCGCGTACAAATCAGTTAAACACGAGTCTCAAAATATCTCGTCTACTTACGAAAAAGATGATTAGCTTACGGCGATTATATAAGACCGCGTCTGTCGACAACTCGAGGTTTACGGAGTCCTTTAGGAAAAAGTACTTCGTCCGTATGCCTGTGGTATATGTATGTATGTATTTGTGCGGGCGTACGAGATGCAGCTTTTCTTTTTTCTCTTTATTCGACGTCAGCTCGTCGAAAAGGACGGCTCGTTCATATCGAATGCGCATTGATCAATTCCGATTCCGATTCTGATAACATCAGAAAGCTCAAGTCTTCCTAGACATTCAAGCTTATTTCTCGTTAATTTTTGCTTATTGCTCTTTCTCTCTCTACTTATATACCATGCGATGAATATATTTTACGTAAATGTGTGTGTGTGTGTTTGTTTGTGTGTATGTGTGCGTGTGTGCTCTGGAAAAACGGTACTCTAATCTCGATCAACGCGCGTACGTTTATCGTAATACGCGAGTATGGTAAAGAGTTTATATTATGTATATACAATATCTCAGGTGCGTAATTGATACAATATTATATAAGTATATATATATATTTATATATATAACGGTATATATCCACGAAACTCATTATAAAAAGAACACTTTCGAGCTTCGCAGCGACGCGCGATCTGCACAGAAGAGCGGAGCGTGTATTCGACACGTGTTTCCCAAAGCACTCATTAACTCAAGCACACTTAATTGCTTAATATACATCTCCCTTTCTATAACTATCTCTCTCTCTCTTTTCCTTTTTCTCCTTCCTTTTCTCTTTGCTTTCTACGACTCCGTCGTGCGCGCGTTCGCTCGTGGCAGAAGTATCTTAAGTTGTGTCGCTAAGCTTCTTTTTCCTTGAGGCTTTGAGAAGTTCCATAAAAGCGTACTGCGTGTAATAACAAGATCTACTATTCGCTAAGAGTTTGAGAAACGAGGAGAGAACTCATTGAACACAATTCCGCAGTCGAGCCCGTTGAATTAACGACCGAGGGAGGCATCGCGTTACGCGACCGTTAATTCAATACCACCTTTGTGAGACATCATTTCATTACAAAAATCTTACAGATTAAATCTTACGGATCCACAAAAGAAGACAAGTAGCATTATCCTTTTCTCTTTTTAGCACGGCGTAAAAAAGAATAGCACAAGCGAAACGGGAAGAGCTTATGGTGAAACAAAATAATTCGGACATTGGTGTGAATTTTGCGAAGCAGCTCGGCTCTACAATTGTGGCACACACGGTAAAATCAAAGCGAGATATACGCGTCGCCGTGCGCGAGATATGCACGGCCGATAATCTCCAAGTTTAGTACATCATACGCTAAAGATATCGATGGCGTATGTATGTGTATAAAAAAGCGCAAACCGCAAGTCCAGTCACGGCTTGGTCAGACACAAAAGACGTGTTCTCCGAAATACATAAATATAATTGTAGCCGCTTGTTACAATCTCCGTTATGTTAGTGTCATCGTAATACAATAATTATAAGGTAATAAAATAATAATAATAATAATAATACACACATTTAATCTAATTGGTATCTTAAAGATCAAAGTGATCTGCTGGCCCTACCTATGCGCGTTTATAATGTAATAAATGTCCATTAGTTTCCTTTTTTTCGTTCGAAAGTCGCGGAAGTGCGACGATTTTTAGTTAAAAAAAAAAAAAAGTAAGATGCAAGATTCAAAGTTCTCTCAAACTGTTCCTCTGAGTTCTTATATTACTCTTTAACTGCACTTCACACTTGTTACACTTGTTTTGCATATTCAATGTTTCCTATTGATAATTCTCTTCAACTCAATTTTTCTTTAATTTTGTTTATTACCAAAATAAAGAGACACTACGATAAAAAAAGACAAATATGTAGAATGCATATAATAATAATATTAATGTTAATATTAATAATAATAATAATAATAATAATAATAAGACAGTAATATTAGTAATAATTACTGTCTCTCATTGTTATTATTATATACATTCTACATATTTGTTTTTTGTATTATTCAAAAATAACGAAGGCGCTGATTTGTTAGATCAACTTACATGATTTGGATGATATATTTCATCCAACACCCCCAACCTGGGGGATCTCCAAAGAGGAGAGTTTACGTGGCAAGATACTCTCGGTGGATTGCCATCACCTTCCGAGAGGTGGCGATCGAATAAAAAACACTGAGATAAATACACCGGAGTGGGCACTGTCATGCTACGATCATAGACAGAAAATGATCCTGAGACAGATAGATATTGTGTCTCTCGCTCTCTCTCTCTCTTTAATAGTTTCGATGCATGCACATATCACTCGCAGTACAAGTTGGACCAAAAGTTATTGATGTTTATCCGAAGTGATCCGAACCCTGCAAACCGCCCCATAAAACGATCAAAACTTACTAACTTGACTGTACGACAAAGGACAGCAATCCCATAAATTTATCTCTCTCTCGGCTCGCGCCAGCCGAGCCAGTGCCCTCTCCGGTATACTTATATCTCAGTGATAAAAATCGACGAATGTTTCGTTTTTAACTCGGATCTTAATCGACCAGCGCACATTTCTCTGCGCTGCGATCGCCACGTATTAATATTATTATATGTGTATCTGTAGATGCACCTTTTATTTTTTTTTTACTAATTTTTTTTGCTGCTGTGTAGACTTGTTTTATTATGTAAAATAATTAAAGATAAGACGTTATATCATGATTTCCGCTGGGAACCTACGGCATTACGATTAGCTTCTTTGCAGCTAGTTCCGCAATTCCATAATTTTGCCTGTGTTACGGGCTCACTTGTCATAACATCTTAAAGAAGCCTACATCTTCCCCTCTTCTTCTTCTTTACCTAAGATTTTAGAATATTCACGTTAATATGCATGAATTATAAAAATATAATTATAACAATAAGTATTAAGTAATATCATTGTGTTATTTTAAATATATATTTAATATTCAAATTTCAAGAAATATGTTTCATATGTTTCATTTCAAGAAAAATGTTTTTTTTTTTCACATTGACTTGTAACTTAAAGATCTGACAGAATTTCTTAAAAATAATCATTAGAAAAAGTAATTGAGACATACTTGTAATGCAGCTCGGGTTGCTGTTTCGAAAACTTCTCTCACACCTTCCTTGCTCTTGGCGGAACACTCAAGGTAGGCGAAAGCGTTGATTTTCTCGGCCATAGCTCTACCCTCCTCGGGCTTGACCGGCTCCTGCTTCATCTTGCTGAGCTCCTTGATAGTGTTAGGATCATTGCGCAAGTCTTTTTTGTTTCCCACAAGAATAATGGGCACGTTCGGGCAGAAGTGCTTCACCTCGGGTGTCCACTTCTCGGGAATGTTCTCCAAGGAATCGGGACTGTCGATGGAGAAGCACATTAGGATAACGTCCGTGTCTGGATACGACAACGGACGCAACCTATCGTAGTCTTCTTGTCCAGCTGTGTCCCAAAGAGCCAGTTCCACCTGTTGGTAGAAGCGAGTGATTTGTTGAGAGAGAAATTTGTAAGAAATCTCTTGACAGAGGTAATAAGAAAAATTTCCACGATAACACGTACCTGTTTGCCATCCACTTCGATATCGGCGACATAGTTCTCGAATACCGTCGGTACGTACACCTCAGGAAACTGGTCTTTGCTGAACACTATGAGTAGACATGTTTTACCACAAGCACCGTCGCCCACAATAACCAACTTCTTCCTGATGGCTGCCATGAATCCTAAAATGCAAAAGAGTATACGTGGTGTGTATAATGATGGTCAAACAAGCAAATCGCGACGTGACAATATACAATATGACACTGCTCATTTAGAACATTCATCGTTTTAAAAATGTAGGTGGATATTGATTAATTAATACGAAAAGCGTAATGTGTGGTATATTTGTTACAAGTTAGTGATCAATTTCACGATTGCAATCAAATCGATAATGAAATCATAAATGTGCTAAAATCGTCAAATCCCTTTTATTGTATCGCATTGTATGGGATGTACATATTTACATTCAAAAAAAAAAAATCTCGATGAAATGTATAGATTTACTTTATCTCGAAAAATTAATTCATGTCATCGATTTATCAATGTTTTATCTGCACAAAATAAGGGGGAGATAATACCGTGCCTGAAGGTGACACCTCGGGCGGCGCTTTGTGTTTTCATAATTGCCAAAAAGTGGGCGGACCTTCACCAAGAATAACTTACCTACTTTACAGATAGAATGCTTCTTTTACAAATTAAATTTCGCAATCATATCGTGATACAATGTTCAATGCGATAACGCCCGCTAGCTATGCTTTTATCGCGTTTCTCGCTAATCGTGACTCATTTGCACAAAGTACACATACTATATAAATGGATTTTCAAACTGTCTCCGTCCTACGTATGAAGTAATCGGGCAGAATAATCTTTCTTGCTAACATTATCTGTACAGGTAGCCTTATGCTTATAGGTGCAACGGATGAGTTTGCAAATTCTAATCTTTCAGGACGTGTACTTTACGTATCAGCATATATACAATTTGGAATACCTTACGACCTAAGAAGTGAACACCAAAATTGGTATCGATAAAGAATTTCGATCAACTAATTGCGACATTGTGCGGGAAAACACTGTCAAGTCGTTTGAACTAAAAGCATGCGGTGTGATAGATTTGCGGCCTACATGGATCACATTGTGAAAATAGAATATGTAACGCGCAAGAGAGATAGCTGAAAAGAATTGGAGTTAGTGTCGGCATCGATATTAAACTTGCTTCCCTCGCACAGCGGTCAGTATATTCATTACAATTGGAGTGGAGCAGAGCAAGTGTGTTTTTAATCGAAAGCGTGTGTACAAGTACGAAAGAAGTGACGGATGAGGCTAAGAAGCATTCTTCAGGATAGAGTTAGGAAGAAGAAGAAGTAGTTGAGGTAAACCTCCGTGAGACTCGTGTAACTCGCGTTATGTACACCTCTCCTTCTCGGAGCGTAATAAAATAGTGTCTCAAACCTCGTAGGCTATAGCTCTGTTCTCTTTTGCTTAAATTTGTTTCTTTCTTCCCCCGAATTTATCGCAGCCTCTTTACTTCAAGCCAATCTCGTCGTAGACGACGCGTTCCCTTCGCAGAAACAAAAAAATACAATGCCCCTTGGCTGCTTCGCTATTTTACAATATTATAGCTCCAATACTACTACTCGTGAAGCAAGTGACAAGATTTGGTTTTCTAAATCCTGTTGATCTACTCAATCGCGCTATGAAAAAGCGGGACCTACGAGGACTGAAGTCTTAAAGGATATTGACTGGGTCGTACCTGATCCAGGGTACCTCGTATTGCGTGGACCGAAGCATCGGCACACGTTGCATCCCATGTTTTTAGTCTTTCTTTCAGCGTCTCTGTTTTAAGTGGACATTTTATATGTTAGATGTAGGTAGAGGAAGCTGCGAGATGAATGCATATATACCACACAACACATATCAATAAATGTATATATATTCTAATCTGTGTATATATATATATATATATATATATATATATATAAATATATAAATATACATATATATGTACGTTTTGTTTTGTTAAAAACAACTTGCACAAGTATAATTGAGGTCATCTCTAATACACATAGGCTATATAAAACTTGCAATATATTCTGTTTCTTAACTCTTTCCCTTCTGATGTTAAAAAGAAAGAAAATATAATGTATATAAATACATATTCTACACGGTATGTATGTACATACATGTGCTACGAGGTTTTTCAGCAGGACCGCCAGTGACCGAGTATAATAGTTCCTTATGCCATCGTATTCGACGACTCAAGCACACATTTAAATCGAGATATATGGAGTATTACATTCGTTGTGGCTCTCGCTAACACACGCACATAAGGTAGGGTCTTCAATATTTTACTATACATCCAAAGGAATGACGGCATGACATACGAAATGTAACATCGATAGTTGTGCCCCTTTATATCGATTGGTGCTACACTCAAGTGCCACATTTACCAAATTCTCCTCGACCAAAGACTGTACCTTATGCATCGGGAACAAAGTGATAATCCGTCAAGAGACTACATGCAAACAAACAAAAAATAAGAGAGACAAGAGATTGGTAGATTAACTCGTTGTTAGGCATGCAATATCAAACATTGTATGTATCCTTTAGAAAATAGAACCATCCGACAAAGCGTAAATCGAATCCGGTGGTGCACTGTACGCTCATACTCATATACAAAAGTAACAATACGCTGTACGGAGTCCCACAGAAATTCAAAGGCAATCACGACATCGCTCATCAAATGCTCAACAACGAATCTGAAATGTGATTGCTCGTCACGGAAAAAAGAGCTGTCAAAAAGAGCGATTGACTCAAGAGGTTTAAGCCCCAGACATAATGCAAGTAGGCGATAGAGATAGCGATAGTGATGTGTCGGGGCTTTACTAAATGGCAACAACAAAGGGGGGGGGAATAAAGCTTCCGATGCAAAAGTTCACCCCTTTCGCGCCGGTGACGCCTCGTATTATCTCATCGCAATAGACCACAATGATACTCAGCCAAGTCACACAGAAGCGGAAGCGCATGGAATATTGCCTATGAGGTACAAGAGAGTTGCCACGGAATTTCCTTCCTGCTGACAGAATGGTATCAGATATCGTCCCTCTTTTCAGTCCCGAAACGAAACTGCCGGCCGAGCGTTCGCGCGACGGACGGCCGCGTCTCTCCACGTCGATATCGCGAATATTCCCGACACGCAGGAACGAGTCCTTTGTCTCGCAATTTACACACGTCGCTCACAACTTATCGGAAAGAGAAAGAGAGAAAGAGAAAGAGAGAGAGAAAGAGAATGGTGTCTGTATATGTGTGTGAGAAAAACAATACGTGCCGCGCTGACACGAAACGAGTGTCGGAAAGAATATTGTACGCTGGGACCAACCCTTTCGTGTATTTCTCCGAAACATAGAGTTCCACGAGGACGAGCACGCGGATCGGCGCCAGAAGACATGCAGCAGTCACCTCTGATGACCCCTAAATCCAGTTGCCGAGCGCCTCTCCTACGAGGATGAGAACATTGCTACCTCGGAGAGGGGAGGAGGGGTGTGTATGTGTTCCTTTCAATCGCGCTTGTCACTCATTACACCCTCTGTGCTTGAAACAAAAGGAAGACGTATTCTCGGTTTTGTGAAGAAACTAAAGAAAAAGAAGAAGATGAAGATGAAGATGAAGATGAAGAGATAGAGAGAGAGAGAGAGAGAGAGAGAGAGAGAGAGAGAAAAAGTGCGTAGAGTTAAAAGAAACAAACCTAAGTTTCAGCAGTGCTCTTTTCACACTTTTCACGCGTTAAAAACATCTCGAGAGAAGCGAGAGGAGAGAAAGAGAGAGAGACGAAGCTTAGAAAGCACGTCTAGAGCGAACGAGACCTGACGAGTGTGTGCCCCTCGATTAAACTAACCTATATTTCTTACCGCGACGAGGACGAACTGCGCGCAATGGCCAAGGTCAGAGAGTGCGAAAGAAAAGTGTGCGTGCGCGCGCGCCTGCGAGAGTGAGAGAGAGACGAGATTTCGTGGCGGACACTCAGGACGCCATCGATGACGTGAGTGCTCAGGAAACGCTAATGATGACGCGGATTCTCGGGAGACGCCACCGACGGTCGCGGACGATTCGGAGGTCCGCCCGTTCGCTCGATCTGCACTCTCCTGCACTCTCTCTCTCTCTCTCTCTCTCTTTCTCTTTCACGCGTACGAGGCGCCCGTACAGGCAACGGGACGGAGGAGGCGGGGTGTAGAAAGTGCGATCGAGAAGACCTCGGAGAATCCAGAAGCTCGTTCCTCTCAGACTCTCAGCCGTGCGGACTCTCTTCTTTTTCCTCTCTCTCTTTCTCTTTTTCTTTTCCTCTTCTCCGCGGTCGCGCCGATACGATACACGGAAGGGTCGATCTCGCCGATCGAACCGGAATGCGAAAATCCTCTCCGGGGATTTTTTTCACACGGGTGGAAAGTGGAGCGCGCGGCGGGCGCGAGAAGCGGGACCCCGTGAGGAAACGTTGCCCGCGGAGGCGGCGGCGGAGGTCGGCGGCGCGAGGCGCGATGCTCCCGGGCGATCGCGTCACGTCGAAAGCGCGCACATACTTCACTTCAGAATTTGTTTACGCGGGGCGGGGGAGGAGGGAGGCAGAAACGTCGCCGGGCGACATCCGGCACGGATCGAAGGCTGTCACGCACGAAGGCGAGACG